AGTAAACTTTTCGCAACTGGATGTCGGAGCTGGATGCGAGAAGCCCAAAATCTAAGAGCTAAGTGGCGTGCAATGGGAGAGGCCTATGTCCAGCAGTGGACTGCGATAGGCTGATGATGAAACTTGTCGCAACTATCCTTCGTGAATTATTTTTTTTAGAATTTGACTTATATTTGGAAATCTTTATTTGAAAATTGAAGTAAGTACATAACGAGACAGCTACGTTGTTTTATTATATTGTATATCATCGCCTAAAATAAAAAGATTTTTTTTGTGCAGCCAGGAAGTTAACTCTGCCAGAAACGAAATTAAGAAGCATCATTCGCTCGGATAATTTTATACAAAATCAGATACCGATGAAAGACATATGTCAGTAAGAATTCATTGTTTTAAATCTTGACTTTAGAATTTTTAGTGTTGGGAGAATCACATGCTTCGGCATTAATGGCCAATGAGTGGGCCCCTAGCTGGGGGGGCAGGACGGCAACGCACTGGTGACTCTTGAGTTGCGGACGTCCGTTGTTTTTCAATGAGTGTGTGAGACCTAAACCTCCCTCCTACTTTTTCAGGAGGGAGGGGGAGGACGACAACGCGCTTATGACTCTTGAGTTGCGGATGTCCATGAACGGTGGTAGTTACCTACCATCAGGTGAACCGTCTGCTCGTTTGCCCCTCTATATCTACCTTAAAAAAAAACCAATTGTTTTATTTTCCCGTTCGTGGCAACCCTAACAAAACGTGCCGCATCCGCAACAATACTTCACTTCTACTATTAGGTATTCAGTTTTATCACGTATTTCACCCATAATGTTTTCATAAACAAACATAATTTCTCCAAAACAACAACCATGGTTGAACGTTCACCACGTCAAATATATTTCGTCATATCTTGATGTATTTCTAGACATTCATTGTTTAATAACAGGAATATTTGAGGTATGCTGTTCACCGGCTGTTTCTGTGGTGATATTAAGGGCATGACTGATGTTATGACGTCAACTCAAATGCAGTATGCACTTACTTACATCAGCTCCTGTGCGTCATTAGTTTCAAATTAAACAATTTATAAACACTTGAGTACTTGACAATGAATGAAACAATTTAATGTACTGTATTGACTTCACGAGCGGCGAGGTGACCGCTTAAACCACTACCACCCGGTAGTGGTTTAAGCGGTCACCTCGCCGCTTCCTACTGCGCTGAGAGTTATGGGTTCGATCCCCACGTGGGACAACACTTTGTGTAATCCACAAATTATTGTTCTGAGTCTTGGTGCTCGTCCGTTTCATAAATATGTGTTAAGTCCCCCGCCACACGATATGTTTTTAGTGCAGGAGTTGTCTTTAAGAACAAAAACAATGACAGAAAGAGTAAATTCAATCTGGTTTTGTAGTTAGCGTGTTAGGTCATTAGTTCTTTAATATATCACGCACGCACGGACTACTTGACTGCACGGATGGCGCAGTGGTTTAAGCGGTCGCCACGCTGCTTCCTACTGCGATGAGTGTTGTGGGTTCAAACCTCACATGGGACGACACTTTGTGTGATCCACAAATTGTTGTTCTGAGTCTTTGTGTCCGTTTCATGTATGTTTGTAAAGTCATCCGCGACACAGGTTTTATTTCTAGAGCGGGCGTTGTCTTCTTAATAAATGAAATAAAATTAAATATCAATGATTCATTAGAATAATTATCATAAAGCGTCAAGTGGTTATATAAGGACAATTTGTCAATGGCCTAATCCTGAAATACATTTTATTGGTTTATGTCAAATACCAAGACCGAATACCAAATACGTGTAGAGACGCATTAAGAATACGGAATGTCACTACCCCAATTCATCCCGTGGGTGTCGTAAGAACCGACTAAGGGCGCTAAACAACGAAGGACACCAGCACTACAAAAAGAAGGAAAACTTGACACAAACCCTATACCAACCCGTCTGGCCAGCGTGGTATAGTAGGCCAAAACCTCCTTTCTAAGGAGAGGCCTATGTCCAGCAGTGGACTATTAAAGGCTGTTGATGACCAAGACTTGATTAAAGTTTGCCCCGCGACTTGAATTCATTGTTTTAAATCTTGACTTTAGATTTTTTAGTGTGAGGGCCCATAGCTGGGAGAGGGGGTTGTCACTCTTGAGTTGCGAACGTCCGTTGTTTTTCAATGAGTGTGTGGGACGTAAAGCTCCCCCCTATTTTTGGGTCCCGTCTGTCTGGTCTGGGCGGTACTTAAAAATCTTTATTTTTTGGAAAAACGGCCACGAGCCAATACTAACGCATATAATACAAGACTGTATCGTGACAACCTTTTTACACGCTTCATATTAGCTTCACTTGTATGTTTGTTTGTAACCGACTCCTTTGGGTGTGATTTTGACTCACTTTACACGGTCAGAATTCGTTTAAAGGTAGATATATCGAGGACTGATGACAATACACTAATTAAAAAAAAAAAGAAAATTAAAAAAAATTATAGTTTTAAAGAACTAAAAAACACGATTTTTATAGAAAAATAAATAAATTTTAATAAATTGGAAAAAAGCGTTGGGTGCCTGGTGTCAATAGTAAAAAGCATCCCACGCTTTTTTTTCAAATTTATTAAAATTTATTTTCTATTTTTTAGGTTGGTTTTCTATAAAAAGCGTGTTTTTTAAAACTATTTTTTTTTTTTCATTTCATTGTCAAGAAAATGTTGTGTCTCGATTGTAGCTCAAACTTTGTAACCATTTAAGTTTATAACTTTCATTGAGTTGTTATTATGTTGACCAATCGCGGTGTGCGAAATCAGGGGAAGTCCCTAATATGATCGTATCATATTACACACAAGCGGCACGTAAGTACGTAATTTTGTTATCTATTCAATTCTAAACCGTAAAACAAAACTGATAGAGTAACAAATAGATAATATTAATGTATTGGCATTTTGGGGTCTTATTACCTCGTATCAAGTAGTTATGCAGAGTTGAAAAATACTTAAACGTTGAAAGAGTATATCGTCTATTGAAATTTGAGACCTTTAATGCCTTTTCATATTACACAACTTAGACAGTCTTGGTGAGTTCATTTCGTGTTGATTTTTAAGTTGTTTAAACTGGGACAGCCAAGTTTCGGAACATATAGGCCGGGTAGGTTAGATATATCACGACCTCACATTTTTACCGGAGCTTTAAACCCTGAACCCCACATTTCTGGGGGGATAAGGGGCCACCTTTGACTTTGGGACATCGGGTGATCCGTCTGCTCGTTTCTCGTTTATGCCATAAAGAAAAGAATACTCTTTTCTACTCTATCGATCATCATTTCTGTTTCTATCCATATCCGCATGCAGTCCATCATCTTCTCTCATCTCTCTCTTCTACACTTGTAACCTTGCATTACCATAAAGTTTACAATATTTGACGGGCCTCTTTGTCTAGTTCGTCTAGTGGCTTGGTCTATTGATAAGCAAGAGGTCGTAGGTTCGATTCCCACTCAGGAAATTGTTAATTATTCATCATCATCATCAACAGCCTTTACCAGTCCACTGCTGGACATAGGCCTCTCCTTAGAAAGGAGGTTTTGGCCTACTATACCACGCTGGCCAGACGGGTTGGTAAAGGGTTGGTGTCAAGTTTTCCTTCTCTCTGTGGTGCTGTTGTCCTGCACATTTTGCTCCCTTAGTCGGCTCTTACGACACTCACGGGATGAATAGGGGTGGTGACACTGTGTATTCTTAATCCGTCACCACACGGACAATTATTTAACATAGTTAATTATTCGAAATACATGTATTTAAAATGCAACATACCTATTTTTATTTTTTGATATACTTTTTCAAAATGTATTTTGTATTTTATTTAAAATACTTTATCTAAATATTGCAAAATCGATCTAAGTGGCGTGCAATGGGACAGGCCTATGTATGTCCAGCAGTGGACTGCGATAGGCTGATGATGGTGATGAAAATGGAAAATAGTTTTTTTTTTAATATTTCTTATTTTCATACTTAAATTTAAAATTACTTTATAAAATAACAATGCCAACAACTTTATTACATTACATAGTATAAAACGAAGTCACCTTTTTTTGTCTTGTACGCTTAGATCTTTTAAATTTGGCAACGGATACTTGTTTGCGATTTATGCGATTTTCACCAAGAGAGTGATTCAAGAAGCAGGTTTATATTTATGATACATGCATATCATAGTAGAAGAAATTCGAAAATTCCAAAGATTTGTAATGTGAAGTCGTAAAAACATGTTTTAGTGCGCTTACATTGCAAACGCTGGCTTACGAGATATATTGAAATAATGTACTACGGCATTGTAAACCTTAAAAAGATCTTCAAAAAACTCCTAGATTTCATATGTCTATCTGCTAAGGATAACCCACAGTCATCATTTTTATCTTTTAGATGTTACAAAAAATAATAGATAATTCAGTTTTACTCCTTATGCTAATATATACGTTAGATAAATTGATATTGATGAAAATTTACTTTTCTAGCATATTATTAAAGTGAATATCTTAGTAGATATCAGAGATTTAAAATTCGGGGACAAAGTGGCCGTCACCGTGTCTAGTGGCTGACAGGAACGGAGCGAGCCTATCAATATTGGATATTATTAAAATGTTGTGTCCTTATCATAATAATAGTATTAATAATTACTCTACACTGACACCACATTAGCAGTACGAGTATTAGTAGTATCAACATTGCACCCGTGCGAAGCCGGGATTTGCTAGTTATCTATACTAATATTATAAAGCTGAAGACTTTGTTTGTTTGTTTGTTTGAACGCGCTAATCTCAGGAACTACTGGTCCGATTTGAAAAATTCTTTCAGTGTTAAATAGCCCATTTATCGAGGAAGGCTATAGGCTATATATCATCACGCTAAGACCAATAGGAGCGGAGCACCAATGAAGAATGTTTCAAAAACAGAGAAAATTTATTACTATTGAGAGACGCAGACGAAGTTACGCGGGTCAGCTAGTTATAATATATAAGTCAAACCAACTCACATAATTAGCTGTGGGATCAACGCCGTTACTTCTAATGACTTCATCAGCGTATCCCGTGATATTCTTCATGAAAATCTTCACGTCATTGCCAGCCCTGGACGCGTAGTCGGTGTACAGAAGCAGTGCGTCTTCTTTGACCGAGTGCAGCTCGCTGAGAAGGTCATCTTGGGGTCTGCTGACCACGTTCTCATGGGTCTTGTTGGCTACATCCACGTAGATGACAGCCTTCTGGAAGTAAGGAGGAGCTGGATGTTATTTTTAACCGACTTCAAGAACACAAAAAATGAGGTTTTCAATCGTTTTCAGTTGTAGACTGATTTTGAAATGTTTCTTTAATGTAATCGAAAAGGGTATTCTCCCAAGGTGGTGTCATTATAACAAAATCAGGATTTCATGATGGGATCTTAGAGAAATCGAGGGAAATCCTCAAATTTTACAACCCCGACAACGTGGAAGTTGGAAGTGGTTATTGCTGAGCTGATGATGGAAGGGTCCTTGTCATTTAAGAGCTAACTTAAATAACTTTTTCAATAATATATTCATGTTTGTTATATTATTCATTAACCTTGTTTTATTCTTTCAAGATATTTGTTAGGTGTTTGCGTTGGTTAGAGAGATATGTGCACGAGAAAGTAATTAATGAAATTACTAAACATTTAGACCAATAAAGTATTTGTTACGCAATTATTTTCTTGTCTTTCACCTAAAAATTCTTTTATGTGTAAAACGATTCGGAAAATTATTTTTTATTTACAAGGACCCCTTTTGTTTCCATTTAAATGTGAAGAAAAAATACCACTCCTAGTGATGGCAAATTAAGTTATTATGGAAAACAACCATTTACGGATTCAAATTTATCATCTTACTACCAGATCTAAATAATTCATATTCAACTACTTTGTAGTACTACATATTCAACTAAATTGAATATAATGTAACATATTGTAGTTTGGTAATATATATTACAGTACGTACCGTACGTTAGTATTACAGTACGTGTTTTAAATGTCGTATCTACTCATTACAATCATATCTTATACTAGCTGAAACCCGCGTTTGGTGTTATAACCGCGGGCAACGTCGCGGGACGAAGCTAGTCTAAAAAAAGTAGCCCAAGTTACTCCTTATGTCATCAGCTATCTGCCAGGTGAAAGTCCCGTCGAAATCGGTCCAGCCGTTCCAGAGATTCGTTCCGGAACAAACAGACAGACAGACAGACAAAAATGGTAAAAAATGTTATTTTGTCATATGTACCGTGTAAACATACATAGGAGAGGTAACAGGTTTTGTCCTACTATACCACGTTGGCCAGACGGGTTGGTATAGGGTTTGTTTTAATACCGTCGTGTACGAGGACCGAGATGGTAATTCGAGGTATCGGCCCATGTCGTGCGGTGTTTCACAGGGGTCTGTTCTTGGACCCCTCTTGTGGCACATAGGGTACGACTGGGCCCTTCGAGCCGATTTCCCCCCCGGTCTGGGTGTAATTTGTCACGCAGATGATACTCTGGTGACAGCCCGGGGGACGAACTTCCAAGAGGCGGCGCGCCTGGCCACAAGGGGAGTCTCCCTGGTGGTCGGGCGCATTGAGGCGCTGGGCTTACGGGTGGCCCTAGATAAGAAGGAGGCTCTCTTATTTCATGGGCCCCGTCGTGGTCCACCCCCTGGCGCCTCAATCCTGGTCAACTCGGTCCTCGTACCGGTTCGGGCCCAGATGAAATATCTGGGCCTGATCCTCGACGGGAGGTGGCTCTTCGACGAGCACTTCCGACAGCTTGCTCCAAAGCTGGTCGCCGCTGCGTCTGGCCTAGGGCGACTTTTGCCACATTTGGGTGGACCCAGCGTCGCGACAAGACGGCTGTACACGGGGGTTGTCCGGTCAATGGCACTATACGGTGCACCGGTGTGGGCGGCGGCTCTGACCGCCCAGAATAGGGCACGCCTCTGGCGCCCTAAGAGGGTATTGGCGGTCAGAGCCATACGCGGTTACCGCACCGTTTCGACGGAGATGGTTTGCGCGTTGGCCGGAACTCCCCCGTGGGATTTGGAGGCGGAAGTGCTCGCCGAAGTTTATCGGCGAGTGGCTGACTCCCGGGCGGAGAGCGGATTTCGCCCTCCGCCTTAGGCGTGCGCGAGTGGCGCGAAGCCGCTCGCTGAGCCACGATGGCTCGTTGGTCGTTCCGGCTGGAGACTCCACGCCGTGGAGGCTCTCCAGCCGGTCATCGCCGAGTGGGCAGGGCGGCAGCACGGGACCCTTACCTTCCGGCTGACGCAGGTGCTTTCCGGGCACGGTTGCTTCGGAAAGTACCTGCACTCGGTCGCTAGGAGGGAACTGAATCCCGCCTGCCACCACTGCGACTGCAGTGAGGACTCGGCCCAGCACGCACTGGCGGTCTGCCCCGCATGGGCGACGCAGCGCCGGGCCCTCACTGCAGTCATCGGAGTGGATCTCTCGGTACCGGCCGTAGTACGCTCCATGGCCGGTAGCGACAGTAGTTTCACCGCGGTTGCAACCTTCTGCGAGGAAGTAATCTCGCAGAAGGAGGCGGCGGAGAAGGCCCGGGAGGACGACCTCCACTTGGACCCGATCCGCAGCCGGCGAACCGGGCGGCGGAGGCGCACTTATCACCGCCTCATGCCGCCCTGCGTGGCCGCGGGTGGACGGGGTGGGTTTCCCCTCCACCCGCATTAAATTGGCCAGCCGCGAGGGGGCGGTGTCCGCGTGTGCCGGACGTCGCCTATAGAGAGGAAAATTTTGAGACCGAGCCCGCAACAGGAGCGGGCCGGCGCTAGGAGGGGTCCGGATGTCTTAATAACAGATGTTCCCGGATCCCTCCTATTACAGGCGCAGAGTGGCACACCGTGTGGTTTTAGTCGGTCCGAGTCCGATACACCACCCCGCCGCAAACCCCGGTAGGGTGACGGTCCGAAAGGATTTCCACACGTAAAAAAAAAAAAAGGTTTTGTTTCAAGTTTTCATTCTCTTTGTAGTGCTGTTGTCCTGCCTAGTTTGCTCCCTTAGTCGGCTCTTGCGACACCACTGGGGGTGGTGACACTGCGTATTCTTAATCTGTTACTACACGGTGACGGTATATCACACTTCTTGTAAGTATAAACATTAAGTACTCAATGTGTCATATTGTCTTAAAAAGAGTGTGAAAAGAAGTTTTCTTCACGTATTTAATATTTTCCTTTAGTTATTAGATTATTGTAATATCTATTTTAAGGTTGCTAGAGTTATATGTTGACCTTGTTTCAGAACTTCACGTACGAAATTACATGCAAAAACATAATATTTTTAACATAAACATCGTTAACATAAAAAAAAGTTAAATAAAGACGTTCATTTACGTAGCTTTTGTAACATAACGTTTTTATTAACATTGCGATCCTGAGATTTTTTGATGATCTTTATTTATAACTGACAATACACATTAGATTCATAGTTAGTACGTTAATTTCACTTCTAATTTTAATTTATTCTGCATCGCGCAGTCGAAGTTTCTCACACCTATCTAATCTACAGTTACAAGTTTAATTATTGATGTGCGCCGGTTTGGAGTCATCATTTGTGGTGGAGGAATAATATATTCCTTCCTTCATCATCAGCCTATCGCAATCCACTGCTGGACATAGGCCTCTCCCATTGCACGCCACTTAGATCGATTTTGGCTTCACTATACAATAATGACATTGTAAAAAAAAAATGCTGCATATATAGAATGTCCTGTGTGTTAAATATAATAAATGCTTTCAGGATGCTATTGAGCTTGCCGTGGCATTGTAGCGCGTCGGGTATGTTCGCTGAGGCATTCATAGATGATTTCGACACATTTATGCGACATTTATTCGACACAAAGAAAGCGGCGTCTTTACTATAGCGCCTGCACGGCAGTAACAACAGCATTCTGAAAATGAACGCTGCTACACCGGACTGCCTATTCCAGAAACAGGGTGGTGACAGGTCAATACAAATAATAAACAGAATTAAAAATGTAAAACTAAAAGTACTTACTTATCAACTTAAACATTATTGTTACTAATACTAAAATACTAACATAAATAAGGCCCTAGTATGAAATAAAAAGTTATTATTGTATAAGCACAGCAAATTACCATAACTTTTTTTTTTTAAAAGAAAACTCCCGCATTAGGCATACAGGCCTGTGTCGCGGGGGACTTTACAAACATACATGATACGGACACACAAAAACACCCAGACTCAGAACAACAATTTGTGAATCACACAAAGTGTAGTCCCATGTGGGGATAGGACCCACAACACTCAACGTAGTAGTAAGCGGCGTGGCGACCGCTTAAACTACTACGCCATCCGTGCAGTCAGTCAATAACTGGAAATGAATTAGAAAATAAAAGTATTTCTAGTCTTCTAGTCCTTGGCCAGGCTTGTTGGTCATGAGGTTAGTGATCCTAAATGATGAACTAGAGGTTTTCGGGGTGTGTAATGAATCATTATTTATCAGAAATAAAGTTACCACAGCACAGGTTATGTTTAGTTGGGGGTCAGGCGACCGTGTATAAGATTGAAACAAAAACACATATCAACAATCATTGCAGACTCCCCTTTTCGTAATTAAAATCTGACTGAATCATTCAGGCATTTAATCTATATCATTACAGTGATAACTGTTATCAATAATATCAGGTGTCAGCAGAACTTGAACACGTTTTAAACTAACCTAAGTCATTGACTCTGATCATTATCACTCGACTGTTTCTGTCAAGGTCACGCGAGGTCAGCAGTCAGTACCCTTGATACGAGTTTCCAGAAAGCGTGGCAATATGCTCACAGAGATTGTGTGATTTATATTTAGTCCCCTGGACTCAGTGCTTGAGTTTTGTTCTGGATTTCCCGCTGCAATTGTTATTTGGTTATTCTGTTACGACATAATTATTAGTGCTAATACGAATTAAAAATATATCTAAGCTAAAATATATCTAGTCTTGATTACATCATCATCAGCCCATTACGGTACACATTTTTTTTTTTTTTTATTGCGGAAATCACCTCGGATACCACCGGTGGCATGTCGGACTCGAACCGACTAAAACCGCACGCCGTCTGGGGTACTAATAGCCGGGGAACCAGGTATACCCTAGAAAGGAAGTCCCTGGTGCCCCGAATAATCGCGGTACACTAAAATACATGATATGTAATAAACGCTACGCAGAAGACGAGACCAGCTCCTGCTTCTGCTGTTTTTGGG